ACTTTCTCTCTCTCTCTCTCTTTTTATTTTTATTTTTCCTTTTGTTTCTCTTTCTCTTTCTCTTTCTCTTTCTCTTTCTCTTTCTCTTTCTCTTTCTCTTTCTCTTTCTCTTTCTCTTTCTCTTTCTCTTTCTCTTTCTCTTTCTCTTTCTCTTTCTCTTTCTCTTTCTCTTTCTCTTTCTCTTTCTCTTTCTCTTTCTCTTTCTCTTTCTCTTTCTCTTTCTCTTTCTCTTTCTCTTTCTCTTTCTCTTTCTCTTTCTCTTTCTCTTTCTCTTTCTCTTTCTCTTTCTCTTTCTCTTTCTCTTTCTCTTTCTCTTTCTCTTTCTCTTTCTCTTTCTCTTTCTCTTTCTCTTTCTCTTTCTCTTTCTCTTTCTCTTTCTCTTTCTCTTTCTCTTTCTCTTTCTCTTTCTCTTTCTCTTTCTCTTTCTCTTTCTCTTTCTCTTTCTCTCTCTCTCTCTCTTTTTATTTTTATTTTTCCTTTTGTTTCTCTTTCTCTTTCTCTTTCTCTTTCTCTTTCTCTTCTCTCCCCCCCAGATTAACAGATATTATACATTGTCTGTATATTTTCTTCTCTCCCTTCCTCTTCTTTCATATTGCTAAGTGTGTTTAGATGCATATTTAATATCCTAAGTGTACAAGAGAGAGTATGAACAAGAGATTAACCAAATAACCTTATCTTTTACAGGTCTGCCAATCCTTTGGTTTTGAGGCGCAGGCACAGGATATCAACATGAGACAGTACAAACTAAAGATTCACAAAGACTATGAACCTTCTCAGCTGTACACGGGAGAGTTAGCTCGACTCAACTCACTGAAGGTACGGACTGAATTGATGTCATTTTTTATTACAGTTGATGATAACAACCCTGTGTGTCCTAGATTTTTCTTATGGTATTATATACTCACCCTGTTTTATTTTCTGACCCAGATTGGCAGCCAGAAGCCACCTTTCGACTCCAAAAATCCTTTCATGGCAGAAATCATTGTTAACAGGGAACTTTTCAATGGTGGAGATCGAAACTGCATGCATATTGAACTGGATGTTGAAGGTTCAAGAATAAGGTATGTGGTCTATCTACAAATTGCATAAATGGCAGTAATTAACTGAAAATGTTAATTTTATTATTATTATTATTTTAGTATTATTTTTTTATGGATGATAAAAGATGAATTGTATTGTTTATATACCTATTCATGAAAGCCTGTTGAAATATTTTATTTTTTTCAGTCTTGATTCTTTCATGTAAAATTTGAAAATGTTGGCACTAGGTGAAATGTGTTTTCTCTCTTTCCAGATATGACTCAGGTGACCATGTAGCAGTTTACCCAGTGAATGACACGGCTCTTGTAAATCGCCTTCTTGAGCTAACTAAGGAAGATCCAGATGTAGTTTTCTCTTTAGCAAATGTAGATGAAGACAGCAGCAAGAAACATCCGTTCCCTTGCCCATGTACATACCGCACAGCTCTCTCACACTATGTAGATATCACAGCGCTGCCCAGAACCCACGTACTCAAGGAACTGGCTGAGTACACGTCAGATCCTGCAGTAAGTAGCTATTGGAAGTGCAAGTACCTTACTGTATGTTATAGACAGGGTATTTATTTATAGACAGTGAATTTAGTTGTTATAGACAGTATATTTAGTTGTTATAGACAGTGTATTTTTTTTTTAGATCATGTAACATTTTAGATATTCATAGAAGTAATACAGATCATGAAGAAAGCTGTCTTTAATGTTACTGTTTTTCTCTTAACAATGTTTCTCCACATTTCTTTGGACTAAGTTTTAAAGGCTGTTGAAGTTTAACTACAGAACTCCTTCATTTTAAGATATTCTTACTATCATTATAACTTCACCTCAGGAAAAAGAGAAGCTTAAGCTCATGAGCAGTACATGTGACGAGGGCAAGGCAGAGTATCAGAAGTGGATTGTAAATGACGTCCGCAGTATCATCCACATCCTGGAGGACTTGCCGTCTTGCAAACCACCCCTGGATCACATCTGCGAGTTGCTGCCAAGACTCCAGGCCAGATACTACTCTATATCATCTTCTGGAAAGGTAGAGACAGATGGAAATGCTAAGGATTTTTGCTGTGAATAAATGATATGTAGTATTAAGGGTACAAGAAAGATATATTTATGAAATTGAGCATTGTTGATTAGCACTTGGTGTAATGACCATCACTCTTACTATGTATTTCTAAATAAGTATTTACTTCTTCCAAAAGCTCCACCCGACCAAAATCCATGTAACGGCAAATGTGCTGAAGTATGAAACCCCTACTGGTAGAACCAACAAGGGAGTTTGCACAAATTATCTGTACAAGCTGAAGCCAGAGAATGACACCAAGTACCACGTGCCAATCTTCGTAAGAAAGTCACAGTTCAGGTGAGAACACAAATGATTCTTATTCTGATATTAGGTAGGCCATGAAATATATCTGACATTTTTTTTGCTTTAGTTTTCTTGAATTTGAAAGAAGGTAGTAGATTTTGAC